CTTAACACCCTGATGGCATGTACCAAATATGGGTGAAATCGGTTCACAACCACGCCTGAAATCTCGATTATCACTTTATCATGCGAGAGTATAAATGTTCGGTGACACCCGAACTTAGCCCTTCCTTACTTGTTTGGTTTTATTGTCGGCATTATCTTCGACTGATCCTAGGGTTTTCTTGTTCCAAGTATTTTAAATTTTGTATCTTTATATTTTTATTGGGTTTTCAACATTCTTTGCTTTGTTTTACTTTGCCGGTAAGAGCTTCGGCTGGCGTTGTAGAACATTTTCGTTCCAAAATATTTTCTTTATAATTACTATTTTTATTCTGCTGGTATAAATCTTCAGCTGGCGTTTTAGCACCTATTTGTCCCAAAATAAATTTTTTTAATATAATATGGCCGGTAAAATCTTCGGCTGGCTATGCAGAACTGGTTTGTTCCACAATTTTAATATTTCTTTCATTTTCAATATTACCGATTATTTTCTCAGCTAGTTTTTGAAAGCTTCTTGTTCCTTAGTTTTATTTTAAAAATAAATAATAATTTTCCATGTTATTCTTTACCCTATAGTTCATTTTCCCATTGGACACATCGATAAGTGCCTAATATTTTTTTAAAGGGAATTGTATCTCAAAAGGAGATCCGATTATAAACCCTCTATTTCATAGAAGTTTTCCCTGACTCCAACTATGGTTATTATGTGGTAAAATTTGATATGAAAATAGCCATTCACGGTTTTTACGCGCTTATAAATGGCTAATTCGTTTTTATTATTGTAAACCCCCAGGCTTAATGTAGCATGAGGAAAAAAATGGTTCTCATTCATATTATTTATTCTTTGAATTTTCTCTAGCGGGCGAAAGCTATGATTACTTTCCCTAACCGCTGTACCCCATGTGCTTCCTGATTTTGTCCCTTATGGGCCTGAACGTTTGTATTTGTTTGTATAGGTTTTAAATTTTGATTAAAATTGCTATGGCCTTGTTGTCCCCTCACATTAAAATCTCTATTATAAACACTAAATTTTACGAAAGCAATGTCAGCAGGAAGCTGCATCCAGGCCTTTTTTAAAAATTGAAAATGGGCGTGGCGTCGCCNCGTGGAGCACGATTTTCCACCTCCAAAGCATTTAAGATTGGAGGCAAGTCATCGTCATACTGGACATCAACGACGGCACCAATTACAGCTACAATCTATTGTATTATGTAATCAATATTAACATCTACATATTGAATTATGCAATCTCAAAAGTAAACATACTTTGCCATTGGACCCAGCCGCTACTTGGCTTGCGGCTTTTGATGCAGCACCACGGGCTGAAATATCCAGATAATATATTGTATTATTTATCCTGTTAATACTCGTTTAAAAAAACAAAGTCCGAACTTAACAGCACATTAATTTAGAACCACCATACAAGTATTATTCTCATTACGTAATGAATAACAATTTTTCAAGTGTCCGCATAATGTTCTACTTGTTTCAAATCGCATGTAAATCTTAAATATTTCCCTAATAAACTATTCACTGGTTTTACATAAATACGGTAACATCTTTTTATCGGATTTTGTAACAGCCCTTATCGCGAACATTTTGCCTGTAGCTTTAAGTTCTTTTAATTAAACTGCGATATTGTCCGATCTACTGACAGCACCACTTGGAATTTTACATGGCGAATTCATACATAATTCGCCACGGAGCAAAGTTGCCATCTCGATCAATGTGTTCGCAAGGAGATACCTTATTAGAAAAGTTTTCAATTACGTATTTTAATGCCATAGTGCTATAAATTTTAATTATAATATTAATAGAAAAATCAAACAGTAATAAACCACATATATATTTACAGTTCTTAAACTTCAAGAAACTTAATACTCTAAAGAAAACATTATTATTCATAATATATTATATACATATAAGGGGTATCGCTCTTTCTAGCTTGCACGATGACACAAAATGTGAAAATCATATTGCGAAATATGTAAGACCGAGAGAGCACCCATTGCAGAATCTAGTGATATATGAACGGCTGATTCATTCAATTTATTGATAATGACTGTCGTGAAATAGGGCACATCTGGCATTCCTTCTTTAAAATGCACCGTAACAAATCTTTATAATTTAAGTAGAAATTGTAAAATCTATTTAAAACTTACCTTCCTCAACTGTTTAACGGCGAAATATGTCTATATATACAATAACAGGTGACACAGAGTTGTAATTATTTTTAACGTGTCATTGCACGAAAATAAACATGGGTTTTAGTCTGACATATTTTACAGTCATTGCAAATAGATAATTTCTGCGTGTGTTCGTTGTTGTACCGTTGCACCAAGAGGAAAATTTTGCAATTCGTGCATTGTGTAAGGGGTTTCAATAGCCAAAAAATACCCCTAATATATCAAAATTGTTTGCTGTAAATAAATAATTCGTTAAAGGCTTGCGATTTTGAGTTCAAAATATTTTTACTGAAACGAATAGAATAATAGAAAGTATTTCCGTCCTGTGTTAATAAATATTTGTATCCATTGACAACATAAATGCCAATTAAATGAATGAATATAGTTCCGATGTATCCAGACGTACGCTGCAAAACGGGTATACTTCAGCAAGCGTGTAAGCGACTTGTTCTTGCTAACGTTACGTTAAACTATCCGCCCTATTCTGAAAAAACCTCTTAACTAATTTGTGTAGAAAAATTTGAGAGATTTATAGCGGCATTCTGTAACCAGTCTCTAGTCTCTATTTGAGACATTTTGAGGTAAAATCTCAATATGTGACGAGTTACTATTCACTAAACAGTCTCCAGTTTTAGTCTCAAGTAATGAAATGTAATAGATTTTGTGACTGTCACTTACAGATTAGCAAAATCGTCTCAAGTCTCAAAAATTGTCTATGTCAAATTTAGAGGCTTGCTACTGTATCACAGTACAGAATCGCACGGTTACTTCGTGAAGTTATTCTTTCTCAAATCTCAAAAAGCTAAAAACATAAGGTGAAAACCACTTTGCTCTCAACCACCTCTTTTACAAGAACAAGTAAGATAAAATAAAGAAATGGATAACAAAAAAATGTGAGTAAAAATCTGTTAACTTTGATGCATACGTATCTAATAATTTCATTAATTTTAGGATTTTAAAATGTAAAAGAACAGCTCAGGAGCAGCTGCAGCATAGCATTAAATCACTTAAACATAAATATATTATGAATATGACATACTCAGAAGGAAGTAAAATGTACAAAGACCGTAGTTACACATTTATTGTAATAGATAAATACTTATATTATAATAGATAACTAGTTCCTCCATTACATTCAATAAAATAATTTAAATATCTTAAAAAACATTAAAATTATTATAACGAACGCAACCGTTTTTGCATTGTGAGGTTTGCTTTCAGACGTCGCAAATTTGTGAGGAAATTGCGACTATTTGTGCTTTTGAAATCACCTCAGCATACGGAAACCTTACAATAGTGGAGGTTGTGATTTTTTGAGGGCATTAGAATAGGGCTGTATTTCGATGTAGCAACATAAACATATCAATTCTACAGTCAATAACTTTGACGTTACGAACGTTATCATCCAATCTAGGATGAAACTCATAATCAGCTCCACGTACATTCCACCCAATACACCACTTACTTACAATAACTTAGAAAACATAGTTCCACAATTAAGATTACCTGTATTAATTACGGGTGACCTCAATGCCCATCACACTAGTTGGGGCGCCAAAAACAATAATAAAAAGGGGAGAACGATATTCAAATTCATAACACAATCCTTTCTAACACTTCTAAACGACGGTTCGCCCACCCACTACTCCACCCACCACACATTCACTCACATTGACCTATTAATCGCATCCCCAATCATCGCCATTCAAAGCCAATGGAAAACGAAATCGCAGCTCTTCAGCAGTGACCATTTCCCTATAATAATTACTCTCTTCTCTGACAATAACACTGAAGTAGTCCCAAAYCGCCCCAAATTCAATCTWWAWAAAGCAAACTGGACCCAGTTTCAACTCCTAGCAAGCAATTTTAGCAACAATAGACCGGTTAGCACAAATATTAACAAAGAAACTGCAAACATCCACAGGATCTTACTTCAAGCTGCCAATGAATCCATACCCCAAACATCTAGCAAAAGAAAATATACAGTCCCGWGGTGGAACAGCACACTACAAGAACTAAAAATACTAAAAAATCACCATTGGAATAAATTAAAAAGAAACATCTCGGACGACAATATAATTCAATATAAAAAGGCTCAAGCACAATTCAGGCGAAACATAAAGCTATCAAAAGCAGAGTCTATTAGTCAATTCACTTCAAGTATTAATCCGCACACACAACCAGGAAAAGTATGGGCAACCATTCGCTCCTTCTGCGGACTWAAACCCAGATCGTCAATTCATTGTATCGATACCCAACTCTTAAATGGAAATACAACTRCAGAAAAAGCGGAAATTGCTAATATATTCGCACAATTTTGGTCGAAAGAAGCACAAGACCGTAACTTCTCGTCAACATTTCAGCAATGTAAACAAGACACCCTCAAAGGGACATACACCCTAATACCCAGCAAATCTGCTTCCTTTATCGAAGACAAAATCAGTTATTTGGAGTTACAAATTGCACTAAATAGACTCAAAGGCAAAACTCCCGGTCTTGACCGTATATCCTACCAAATGTTACAACACCTACCAAAAACCGTAAAACACCGACTCCTTGATCTGTTCAACAATATATTCAATCAATACTTACCGCAGATATACAAAAATAGTATGGTAATCCCCATACTAAAACCAGATCTCAATAAAACCTTAATTAAATCGTACCGACCTATTTCTCTCAATCCATGCTGCTCAAAAGTACTAGACAAGATCATCGCCAATAGATTATGGTGGTTTGTCACCACAGACAAWCTCATACATAGTCATCAGATGGGGTTCAGGAAGGGAAAATCAGTGTCTGATTTTCTAGTATATCTAGACTNACCGATTTCAATGAAATTCGGTATATAATATTTTCTTAACACCCTGATGGCATGTACCAAATATGGGTGAAATCGATTCACAACCACGCCTGAAATCTCGATTATCACTTTATAATGCGAGAGTATAAAATGTTCGGTGACACCCGAACTTAGCCCTTCCTTACTTGTTGGCGTTAAATTCGTTAACTATTACTTCTTCATTTATAGTGTTATTTCCTATTAAAATATTTAGCCGAATCGGTTTAGCTAACTTTCTCTTAATACCTATATGTGAAAAGAAAAGATAATTTCCCAATGTGGTGGCAGGTGGCTTATTAGTACAATTATTGGTAGCTCGGCTCTAGAGGCTGTAAATGAAAATTTTGTGTTGCATGTTGTTTATCAACTTCCACAAAAATAGGGAAATGGTTAACATTTCTATTCGGATATCTATAATTCATTGCGTTATGCCTAAAATTCCCAGTGTGACTTTGAATAGTAAGTTCCCATTATAAACTTGAATAGGTAATTTATGGTTTTGTAGGCTTCTACGATTACTAGTGTTACGAAAACTTACGTTGCCAAATGCCAAAGTCCCCCTCGTGTCATTGTTTACATTTTGGGAATTTTTGCTTTGAAAATTATTTCGGAAATTAGGAAAACTATTCGCAAATTTTGTATTCGTGTTTATTAATTTAATATCTGTTATTAGATTGTTTTCAATATAAAATTTATCAATAGTGTTAATATGATTTTGTAATAACAAATCAAGTCGTGATATTGCAGTAAACTCAGATGTTAAATTTTTATTTTACTTTTCTTTTAATTTTCGTGAACTTTGTTGAATTTTGCCGTTAAGTGTTAATATGTGTATTTTGTTTTGTTTTTGTTGTTTTTTCTTCGGAACTGTAGAAAATATTTCTACATATATTTCGTCCACTTAATGTTCATAAGCGGAGTTGGGGATTTGATTTTGGTATGTAATTTTGGTTTAGTACCTTTTTATTTTCGTAATTTTAATCATTAACAGCGTTGCTAATGTTCTGTTTTGTGTAATATATGTATAATCACTTTGCACAATAATGGCTTTTTTTTTTTTGGATTTTACAGCAGTTTTATTTTAACGTTTCCCAGTTTGTTGTAATGACGTTAATATATGAATGTTCGTTTTACACAAAATTAGTTTAGCACTTCTATAGTTTTTCTTCTATTTGCTTGCCGTATATTTATTTTCACATTTCCTAATATTATATTTAGTAATATTAAAAAAATTGTTTCGTTTGCRAAAAATTCGTAATCACTGGATGTGGGTTTTTCTATCCACATCCCATCCACGTCGCCAGTTATATTTTTCTCTAGCCGGTTGAAAACCGACGTTCAGAGTTATATTTTAATTTTAAGGCCAGTAAAACCCGCCAAAATAATAAACCACTTTTTTATTTAACAGTACAGGTATTAATTATTTATTTGTTTAAGTTTAAGACTAAGCGTCAAACCGCTAAAGTAATTCCTTTTTAATTCTCTCTTAGTCTAACGTAACATCATTATTTATACCCTAGCTTAACATACGATATCTTATTAACGTTCTTAGCAGAGTGAGTATTATATG